AAAACTATCTAGGATATTAAAAAACAAATAAATTGCGTCGACATTTTAAAAATGGAAAACAATATTTCCAAATTGAAAAATAATTCTAAGCGATCTAGTAAGACGACGGATTTTTTTGTCTTCAGTCTATTTTCATATATTAACATGGGCCTGTCAACAGATTGTAGACAGCCAGAAATTGGTCTGATGGATGTGCTTGAAATAATGACACGTAAGGCACGGAAAAGAATAGTACTGAAGCAATACTTCTACTATGACTTGATTTAGGAACCGTGGACGGATTATTTAAAACTTAAACATAAACAACCACAAATCACTATACAATGTTTTATATTAAAAATTATAGTTAGATTATTAAATTCATTATTAATAACACTATTCAATTGTTTTCGTAATCATTATATCAAGACAAGATACAACAAATAAATCAATAGTTTAAGTTTTTTTATTAATTTAATTTTTTTTTTGTTTATGGCTTTATGGATATAAATAGGTATGGATGTGTTTAAGAAGATTAATAATATTTTATCCAAGGGTTGAAACTTTTTAAAAAGGTAATAGTTTAACAATTTCTGATAAACATTTTAGGAAAAAAGTTCTTAAAATAAAAGTTCTAAGGAACCATTATTTATTAAAGTTCTAGGTTTACGATAAAAGTTTATCTTTTAGTTATTTATGTTAGTTGTTTATGTTTACAAAAAAGTACTGTTAAATAAGAAATAAACAGTAATTAGGCTTAGATTAGAGTTATTTTTTGTCTTAAATTAACTAAACTAAATTATGATTCTTAAGTGTCACTTGAGTAGCTAAGAATAAAAATCATTTTTAGATCGAGACGTCGTGAAGTTTTTTTTCTGTTTCAAGCCCTGATTTTATCTATTGCCAAATTATTAAGTGATTATAATTTATTTCTCCATATATTTCATTCGTGAACTAGATTACAGAAACTTTTATGATATTCCTCTATTTTCTTAAATTACCGAGATATAGCCTAAGAAATTTCTCGACAACCACCAACCATTATCAGAACCATCTATGAGTGATATAGTGATCTATGAGATTAATACCGAATCTGAAAAATAGATGGTCCAGAAGTCCCGGCTGACAGACTTTTCACTTATTTTTTATTCAGTGTCTTAAATTGTAAAACTTCAAATTTTAAATGTTTTTTGATTTTTTGGATACAAAGTTTCACCATTTATTTAATAAAAAAAAAAGTTAAATTAATAGAGTATTAAAAACATAACACACTAACATGGATACCATTTAAAACATATGCATACATCAAATACATAATACTTTATTTTAATTAATTAAAATTCATTAATATATTATATTTGTATTTAACATGTAATAATGTTTTATAACTAATGATTGAAAAGTGATATGAAGTTTTCGATGAGAAATGTATAACTGACTACACATAATGTGGTCATCCAAAGACTAAATTATATTTTTTTTAAAAAGCCATAATTCTGGTTAAGAAGAAGATCCTCAACCCCATCAACCATCAGCCATGACTAATAACTAAATCAATCATTGCTAAGCTGACGATTACACGAGGCTCATGCCCTTCTACAGTTTATTACTAACCAGCTCTACGTAATATATTCAACGCCATGTATTATAACTATATGATAGATGAGTATGCTAGGGAAGAATATTATTATAACAAATGAAGACAGGTTTTATAAGATGATCTGGAACTTCTCCCCCGCCTCCGATAAATAAATAAAAAACTATAACAAAAAAATCAGGATAGCTACATATTTTATCTCTGAGCTTCACTGAATATAATCCATTTAAAAATTCTACCCGGGTAATGCATTATCATAATTTACTCCAGTTTTATAGGAAATATGTTTATCATGAGAATAACAAATAAACCAATAATGAGAGCAAATATTTCTATTATTTAATTCCCAAATATTTTTTATTACTGTTATGTTATTTTAATTTTATAAAAATGTTTTGTTAGCAAACTTAAAGAATTTTATTTACACGATTTAAATACCCATTTCCCATTGGATACCCACTTATACTTCTACAAGGGAATAGATCTTGCTTTGTTTGTATATTTTCAATATATGACGAAAAAACAGTAGAACATTTTTAGTGTGGTTTTATAACGCCTGAAATAAGATATAGGTAATGTTTTACAGTGTATATTATCTATAACTGGAAATAAAATCCTTCTGAACCGAGAACAAGATTTTCATGAGATTCATTTTGATTGAATATAACAACCTTGCTAAATTGATAATGAACGACCTAGTTAGGTATTTATAAAAATCGATAAATAACTAACTTCTCTTTTCTCATTCAATAAATCTCTCAATAACATGAATTTACAGATGTGCGATTAGTGCCAGAATAGATGTTCACAAAAGTTGAATAAAATAACTTGTAAATCATTTATAACTTATATACGCATTACGTTTCAAGAACTTTTTTTATAAATAATCCGCGACTCTATTATATAGGCACTAAACCTAAAATTAGACTCAAAGGTTCTTTTTCATGGTTGCAGTTATACGTTCTATTATTATTTATTTAACATTTCTATGCAATATATTTTTACAAACCAGGAATGCATAAAAATAGTTGTTTTTTATACAGATTTAAAAAAAAATCCAATATAAAAAAATTAAAAATATATCATATATTACCGATGATGTTTATTTTTGCAAATCATTAATAAAAAGATATTCATCAATTCTATTATCGTAGTTACGGATGCACTGCCTAACTGTGAAACACCCAGAAGTGCCCAGAAGGAGGTTTTGAGGGTGGCATATTTTGACGGGTTTTTGAATTTTTAAGGAGGGGAGGCAAATTTCGACGGAGTTATGAATCTTTTGACTAAGGAACAAGGAGAAAAACATGGAACATACCCCAGCAAGTGTTATATGATCTACGATTTTTTCTAATTCTATCTCAGCTTGCTCTGTTCTTAAGAAAAGGAGAGAAATAAAATATGTTGGGAAGAGGGAGGGAGGGGGTGTAGGTTCTTGTGCTTTCGACTTTAATGGGGAGGGGCACTCCTGGAAACACCAACGTAATATGAATTATCATATAAGTAGGCAAAGACAAACCACTTATCTCTTTTTTTCCTATGCTTCTCAACCGATTTTATTTTTTTCTTTAGTAGCGATTGATGAGCTTATTAATATATATTGTATATAATAAGTGTATATAAATAAAATGTAAACGCTAGTTTGTTCAAAACAACTGATCTCCGAAAGTTCCTTACCGATTGTTTTGAAATTTTGAAGCAAGTGGGTACAAATATATTTTTGAAAAAATTTAAGATGGATTCACAATTTTATTTGCCAATAGCCCAATAAGTACAAAACTGTTTTATTTTGCAAGTAAATGTAAAATTGAATGTAGGAAAAAAATGAGTAGAAAAAAATGTTAGAAACATGGTAGATGGAAAACATGTTGGAAATCTGAAAAAACATTATGGTTTTTTTCTTCTCGTTTTTCGATAATATTGGAATATTTCACTTCGTTTCTAATTCGAAGTAATATAATTATTTTAGTACTTCATAGATCGCATTTTTTCTAGGAAATATATATCTATTTTTTTAGAAAATATTATTAGTTGCAGTTAACTTTAAAGACGTGTTTATGTAACTACATTTAGTAGTAATCTTGCTCCAAAATATTATGTTCTAATGGTCAAATTACGTGCAGGCTCTAGAATGTAGTTCTTTAGTAACGGCTCAGTGATTTGGGGATAAAGGACTTGAAGTACATTTAAATGAATCACTAGTACTGAATGATCTATTTTTAACTTATTATTGAGTCAGATAGCTTTTTTTCAGTAGATTCATATACTGTATCTATAACTTTTGTAATTATAATTTTAGTGAATGATATCCCTATCTTTACTATATAAAGCAGGAAGTTTTCGGTGAATAATGACCAACATCAGTCTGGATTAAATCCTAGGGAGCTCATTTAACAAACTAGTGAATCATGAAAAACAAGATGATTTAAGAGCGATTTTGGTCTGTTTTCATTAGTAGTTAACTTGAGATATTTCATGGTACGTTTTACCCATCTGATCAGTAAACCTGAAGTCTATTTACAATTCTATGCTTACCAGACTGCAATTCCAAGTCTACTTAGGGTATGAGGAAACTTCGTCAGAGGATGTGGCTTAGATCAGCATCCTTTATTATTCGCATCTTTATATGGTTTTGTAAGACAGTCATTAGTTTAATACCCGGATTCATCAGTATACTTATGATGCTAATGTTGCATTACTGCAATGCACTACGAGACAGATTAGACGTTTGAGCAATATTCATGGTCTACAAATTTTTGTAATCGAAATCCTGGATTAATCCCCGACATTTCCGATTTACTAAAAACTTTATAGGAAAAATACTTAGTAGCAATATTTTTACAAACAGGCAATAATAAATTGAAATTATAATTACAGAAATATTTTTAAATAGATAAAACTAAATCTTTTTATTTCATTTTTTTATTTAATAAAAGTTTATTTATTAAATAAAATTAGTTTATTTATTAGTTAAAATTTATTTAATAAATATCTAAAAAAATACAGTGATATCTCTCTAATAATAAGTTAATAAGTAACTGCAAGACTGTTATAAGAGTCTTGACCAAGTACTAGACCAAGACTGAATTTGCAAGACCAAGGATCGTCTCGATCTCGCATTTGGGCAACAGTACTAACAAGAAATGTTCCATTCTTATAACTGGCATAATTAGCTATCCCACATATGAAATTGAACGAAAATATTAAAGTTGAGGACTCGACGATTTTTCTCGACTTTCGCAGAATTTACAGTAAATTTGTGATTTCTGCCCAATATAAAAATCTTCCACATATTCCCGATTTTCCGTTATTTCCGACTGATGTTATACTGGGAATCAGAGGAACATAACTTTTGACATATTCTGATTTTTATTTATTTTTATTGTAGCGTAAATAATAGTTAAAAAAAAATAACTCAACTGACCTGGAAAAGGAGGTATCCACTATCGTACATCCAGTACTGGTCATCGCGGACCGAAGGGGGTGGTCCCCCAACCCGTTGGAGCTGGAGAGCGAGGCAATCCTCCAGCAGGCTTATGCACTGGTTCACCTTAGTACCCATCACATCTGAAACACAAAATAATATAATAGTACCAGAAGAAGAAGAAGAAGCCAACATGAGGATAAGTATTCTATAATAAATACATTGAAAGTTTGGAACTTGGAGTAAAATATGAAATAAAAGAGGAGTACATAAAAATCTAATTTACGAAAACAATTTTTTTTCTTTGATAATTAATAAGTATTATTAACATTTACATTACACTTCAATATATGTAAGAAAACAGGGATTTTTCCCTCTTCCATAGTAACATAGGCGCAGACTTGGAGAGAGGGAGAGAGAGGAGAGAGAGGATGAGAGGGGGATCGCCTCCCCCAATAAAAATAGGGAGGTGGCGACAATATTGTTCCCTTCCAAAAGTATTTCAAAGATCAAAAAAATCAATAAAAAAAATCAATAACACAATTAATGAATGAATTAAATATGTAAACTGAAATTAATTAAGAAAATAAAAAGTCAACTAGATAGCTAGGAGCCAAGAAGTAGGCACGCAAGTATTTTATCAAGCTCTATATTCCTATTATTAAAATTTTAGTTAATATCCAAAGATAATTATATCGTTTATTTTATATTGCCGTTATACTACAGTTTTATATTGTTCGTTTTGCAATAATTATATTAATTATGTTAATTATTATTGCTGATTTTTATATATAATATAAACTCTCCAGACTTTTTTTTGGGTGGAAGGAGAGGGAAGATCCATCGCTCCCCCCGCCAGAATGAAAAGTCTTGGCATGTAGTAACGCTGTGAGAGGGTCGTGTGACACACACCATTACAGATAGACAATCTGATATTAATACTGTTTGGATTGATAGTGAGGTTACTGTGATTAATTGCGATCTACTAAAGAGCTATCTTTTGAGGCAGTGTTTTGTGTTTTCGTTTTGTTCTAATTGTTCATAGCCATCTTATTGTTTTCTAGTGTTTTATCATGTTTTTTATTGTTGTTATTAGTTGTAAGTGTAAATAGTGTACATAGATTGAAGTTTGGACAGGAGAGGTTAAGTCGTATAAATTTCGTGAAGGAGTTCTTGTTTGAAAAAATTTGAGTTCCGAGTGTTATATTGAGTAGAAGATCTCTAAAAGACCTTCCCAGGGAGCACAAAGAAATTAACTTTACTGAATCTGTGTAAAAAAATAAATTTGTAAGTATAACCTGTTTATGTGATAAGAAATATTATTACTGTTACTATTTAAGTTATTAAGTGTCTACTCTTTAAAGACTTGTCCAGGAGTAATATTATAGACAACATGGAGGGAGATGAAAGGGAAGAAGGGGACCCTCCAAGGGTTTCACGTTCAACCGCAAAAAGGGCGAGAAAGGTTTCTCTTGTTGATAACGCAGAAGCTTCTGAGATAGGAATCTCAAATGACTTCCTTCAAAAAGCAAAGATAATTCAAGAAAACCTCCGAATATACCTAACTAAAGCTGACAAAAGTATTAAAAATAAAGACCAAAACCACATTAATGGCAAAATACAGTGGTTCATTGACGCTATTGAATCGTTGGAGGAAAGGACAAAGCAGTACAAAGATAAGAGTGAGGGTTTATCTTTACTTGTCCATAAAGCGGTTCAGGAAACACTTACCTCGCCTTCAGTACATTCGATGATAACAAGCATCGTAATAGAGAAAACAGTGCCGAAGGTTATAGAATCTCTCTCAGGAACCACTATGAAATCTAATGGTCCCCTCGCCATCCCTGGAAAAAGCAACGAAAAGTCATCCGCGACTAACGTGACCCCGCCTGAGCCTTTACCAGCCGCAGTTCCTTTTACAGTCGTTAAGAGCAAAAGAAACAGGAAAAAGACTAAAAAGTCTACCGGTCCCGAAAGCCTACAAACCGAAAATGAAACGCATAAGACAGAGGCGGAATCTTTGACTGGGTCCGGTCCAAATCAGCCGAAGTCATTGGCCGAAATAGTAAGAAAATTGCCTTTAAAACCTACTCAGTCCCTCAAGCCGGCGTTTATTACTATTAGCGGTACCGGTAAGAGTCCGGTGGACATTATCAATGCCCTGCCTTCCCCCACAGAAATAGGTGTTAAGGCTGAAATTGTTCGAGCAACCAAAGGTGGTTCCGTTTTAGTCCGATTAGAAGACAGTACCCATGCCACTAAAATAATTGGTTGGCAGGGGTTACGGGAGAAAGGTTTTCAGGCAAAACTTGCACAAAGAAAGAAACCTAAGATTGAGGTGAGGGGTGTCCCTCACTCATGGGGCTCAGCTGAATTAACGAGATTTTTGTGGGGAAGAATAAACGAGAAGTCAGTCCCTACTACACTCATTAATGATGATATACGGCCATTATTATCCTCAGTATCTAGAAATGGACTAAGTAGGAACTGGGTACTCGAAGTTCACCCAATGGTGAGGTTCCAGCTGTTGGAAATGGCAGCTTTAGATGGAGGATGGTGGTCCATGACGTTTAAGGATTACCTCGACGCCCCTCGTTGCACAAAGTGCCAAGGCTATGGACACACGAAGGCTACCTGTACGGTGGATACCGTTGTATGCATATGGTGTGCAGCCAATGGACACATACTCAAGGACTGTCCAAGGAAGAAGGAACAAGCTGGCCCGACTTGTATTAACTGTGTACGGGCGAGTGCACCGCAAAGCCAAACGAAGCATAAAGCGGGCAGCCGAGAGTGCCCTGTACACTTAAGATGGTCAAACGAGGTGGCTAAGAGGACCTACTATGAATAATATCACCATTCTCCAGCTCAACATGGGCCGTCGTCGCATCGTAGCGGATGAGTTAAGGGCTCTTGTTGGACGTTATGATGTTATGGCGATTCAAGAACCGAGCTGCCGTGGGAACATGGTCACGGGGTTCGGCCTCACATCGAGGGTTATAGCTCTGAGCAGTGGAGAGAGGAGGCCCAGGGCAGCTATAGTGGTAAATAACCCAAACCTCGATGTGATGGATCTGAGGCAGTTTACCACGGCGGATTGTGTCGCATGTTATATCAAATGGGGTAATATTACCTTTACGTTGGTTTCATCATATCTTCCTGACGGAGGTGATATAGACAACGACATATCCGCCATGGAGATGATCACGGCTTGCTATAGAAACATCATCATCTGCTCAGATACCAACTCCTGGAACACGGTCTGGGGATCCAATCAAACGAATAGAAGAGGCGTTAAACTCGGAGAATTCATTGGCCGAAGCCAGCTAGTGGTAATGAATGATCCCTCTGCCTTGCCAACGTTTTCTAGCGCTCGAGGGCAGAGCTGGATTGATGTAACACTGGCATCACCGGTGCTAGCGAGTCGCATCAACGATTGGATCCTCCGATCTGAAACGAGTTCCGACCACCAAGCGATAGCTTTTAAGCTGGTGGAAAATATGGAAAGTTCCCACGGCATCGCTATGGGTTATTTAACCCGAAGGGCAAATTGGAAAGCCTTCCGGTCAACGCTGGAGGAAAAATTAGTAGATGAAGAATGGGATGAAGCGGAGACGGACCAGACAGATAGTCTAGATTATAGGGTCTCTAGGATCACAGATGTCATCCGTGACGCCGCTGAGGAATCCCTCCAGCAACGGAAGGTGAGAGCTCGACCTATCCCATGGTGGACGCCGGCCTTAACTGCTATGAAGAGAGAGCTCTACAAGGCCCGGCGGTCCTATCAAAAGTGTGGTAGTGAGGAGAGGCGCACCACACTTCGCGACGTGTATAGGTCCAAGTCCAGAGCATACCGAAACGAAGTGCGCTCTCGAAAAAGGAAGTCTTGGGATGAGTTCATTATTGAAGAATCGTCCAAGAACCCCTGGGGTATCCCTTACAGAGTTGCCTTGGGTAAGTTAAATCCACAACAGGTAATAGCCGCATTGAAACGCGGAGCTACTCAGGCAACCACTCTGGAGGAGACGGCAAAAACGTTCATTGCGGAAACCTACCCCAGGGATGATCCGTCCCAAGATAATGAAGAGGAGAGATACATTAGACGCACTACGGTATGCCCACCAGGTACGGACCTATGCCCACCATGGGACATATGGGATCTCCGTGCTGCCGTGGATAGGCAAAGGACTGGTCGAGCTCCTGGCTTGGATTCGATAGACACAGCAATACTAAGGAATAGTATCCCCTACATTGAACAAAGGCTGTTAGCATTGTTCAATGATTGCCTAGACAGGGGTTACTTCCCTAAAATATGGAAGATTGCTGATGTTAGACTCCTTTATAAGGGAGGAGATAAGGACAAGCAGTTAGCGAAGTCATATAGGCCTATATGTCTCCTTCCTATAATGAGTAAATTGTTGGAGACCTTGCTGATGAGGAGTCTACGACCAGTCTTCTTAAGGGCTAGCCATCCACGACAGTACGGATGTACTAAAGGTAGGGGAACCGCAGATGCTCTGCTCAGGGTGCGCCGTGACGTTGAAGAGAAGGCGGAGAAGTATGTAATGCTTCTCCTGTTTGATATATCCTCCGCCTTCGATAGCGTTTGGTGGCCGAGTGTACTCCAGCAGTTGCAAAAGTATGAAGCTCCCAGCAACCTGTACGACCTCTTAAGAAGCTATCTAGAAGACCGCAAATTAATGATAAAAGGTAACTTCTTTGCTGTAGAGGATTCTGTAGAAAGAGGATGCCCACAAGGATCTGTACTAGGTCCAGCCTTGTGGAAACTGGTATTTGACGAGCTGCTGGGAGTACTGGAAGAGCAGCGGTTCCCCGCCACTGCTTACGTAGACGATCTCGCAGTCGTGGTGGCATCGAACAGCAGAGCCAGATTAAAGGAAGAGGCTGAACGGTGCGCCAACCTTGTAGGAGAATGGTGCGAGAGAAAGAAGATGAAGATGGCGGCTTCAAAGACTCAGTCCGTTCTTTTGAGGGGTAAGACTGACAGGGCCCACCCTATCACTCTGAATATACAGAGAGAAACGATACGTCCAAGTGAGGCGGTCAGCTATCTTGGGATAAGGACTGGAAGAAAGTTTAACTTCACCCCTCACTTGGACTATCTGAGAAGTAGAGTGGCCCTGGCTCTTAATGGACTGAGTCGCATCGGGGGCGCCTTTTGGGGTCTCAGATACCCAGCCACTTTGGCTATTTATAACGGAGTTATCTTGGGTATCCTGAGATATGCGTCCCCTGCGTGGAGTCAGACTCTCTCGCACCAACAGAAGAAAAGGTTGGCGACGATCCAGCGTATGGCTCTGCTGCGTGTCACTAGGGCGTACCGGTCAGTATCTCATGAGGCGGTACAAGTCTTAGCCGGAAGTATTCCAATTGATCTTCAACTTCGTGAAGACTACTTTCGGCACGAAATGAAGAGAGATGGCTTGGTGGATCTACCGGCTAATCTCCGAGTGAGGATCAGTGAAGACCCAAGCAGATGGAAGAGGATTCTCCGGGAATGCACATTAGAAGAATGGAACCGGCGTTGGGTGACAACGCCAAAAGGATCAACCCTAAGGAAATACTTCCCCACCGTCGGTTCAAGAATGGAAACTACATGGCTCCTCCCGGACTATTGGGTCTCGCAATTCCTCACGGGGCATGGGGGATTCCGAGCAAAGCTTGTTCAACATGGTAAGAACATTGATCCCCTATGCCCAAGTTGTAGGGTACCGGAGACCGCCGAGCACGTCTTATTAGCCTGTACCGCCTATGAGGCATTGAGGGCTAAGTTGCTGAGGGAGACTGGGCTCTATGTCTTATCAGAGCGCGATCTACCTCAGCTAGTGACCAGAGAGAACTACCCGCACTACAAGGCCTTTGTGTACGGGTGGAAAGATATCATTGGCCCAGCCGACTTCTATTTGGGTAGAAGAGAAGAAGCTCCACCACAGAGGATGGAAGAGCCAAGCTAAACAGAAAATCTTATTGTATCGATTGCAGTATTGGCTAGTTATGCACACACGTCTAGCTATCCAATACTGCAAACACTCGTATTGCCAAACTGGCAGGGCAGAGATTTAAATAAATAAATAAATAAAAGATAGACAATCACTGAAAATTCAAATTTAATTTCGACTTACTTCTAAATTTTAAAAATATATGGCAAATGTTAATCATAAATAATGGCTAAATTTTTTATTAAATGATTTCCAAAATTTAAATTTATATCAATTTAATATAAACATAACAAAAAATAAAAAGAATATGAACGAAAAATTGTTTAAAATGTAAACGGGTTTGAGTAAAAGGAGGGAAAGTATAAGAACGCAAAATAATTTTTTTTTTTTTTTTCCTACCCCTCAGGAATTTCTTGATTACAAAATACAAAATATATATATATATATATATATATATATATATATATATATATATATATATATAAATGTATATATACATAAATTTTCAATTTCTTTTTATTGCCCAAGGGCATTTTAAGGTAAGAGAGCTATGCACGCTGTATGCGTTCTTTGCATCTGTGGCCAGAGGCTTTTTATTATACCACTGGACGTGGATGGAACAAAATAATTGTTTTATTCAAGCATATAAATATATACAAAAGATGTATTTAAATCAATGAGAGTCGTTTAAAATTCGCAGAAAACATTTTTTATTAAATAATTAATTAAATTTGATGTGCACATATTTCATTTGGTTTTGTTTACATTATTTATAGGAAATAATGGATTTATAAAAACAAATATGTAAATTTATTTTGCAAAGTAGAGTATATAAATAATATGATAGTAGCTTATGGAACAACTACCTATTGGTAGCAAGAACTTCCTACGATTAAATTAACTAGTTGTAATTTTTATGGTAGGTTGATAATGTGGCACATATATGATGGTTTTAAATTTCCGTATAATTCATTAAAGAGACATTCAAAAGTAAAGGCATTAAAAGACACTAAGTATGGTCCAAACATGTGATATATTATCAAGGGTAAAATATATTAGAGACATATGGATCAAAAAAAATAAAATAAAATAAAACATGGCAGAACCTAAAGTTAATAATTTAAATATTAAAACAATAATTAAGAAAAGAATAAGGATGGAAATGAATAATAATAATCAGGACGTGAATAATAATGAAGTGAAAAACTAAAGTAACCGGTTTTTTCTCTATCATCACCATCAGGAGTGTTTTTTAGTTATTTTCTGTATTATACGTTATTGATACTTTACTACATTTTCCCATATAAAAAGAAAATGATTGGTTTGCAATGCAAAGTATATGCTAATTACCACTTGTCAATCCACATGCTCAGCATGTTCAAGGCGTAAAACGACGATTTGCATTTTGAATATAATTAATTTATACATAAAACTTACAATGAGATGTCTATAAATTTAGAAATCAAAGATAAAACAGAATATTAGATAAGGAAAACAAGTCTGGAATTATATCAACACGGAAGGAAAAATTACGTAACCAATATTAAAATAAGTATAAAATGTCAACCGGAGAGAAGTTCTAAAGATTTTTAATAATATAATAAAATAAACTTGAGTAGCCACTATAGCTACTTGTTGTTGTAAAGATGAGCTACTTGCACGCGGGCTTGTTGTACATACAGGACCCGAAAGAAAGTTGTCGACCAGCTTTATCCACCACAGGCGACACACTTAGCTCCAGGCATACTATAGTGTTTTAGCACTACTGCTAAAAAACAATTATTTATTTTATTTTTCTATATTTTGTTGTTAGATGACAAATATTCTTCTTTCATTATAAGTTAACATTGACCTAAATGTCCCGGTGAAACGAACATGTAAGTGAAATTAACATCGGAGCTTTCTCCTAGCAGCTGAACACTTGTTTCAGAATTTCAAGAAAACATCAGGCAAATAAAATCCGAATATGAGAAGATTATATCCCGAAAATTTCAATTTCTCAGAAACTTTCAGACACTAAATATTTTCTATTCGTAACATAATATTCAACATAATCATTATTGTGGTTTGAGTAGACTCTGGTCTTAGTAAAAAAATTAACTTTTCTAAAAGAAGGATAGTTTCTGTATAGGTGCTGAATCTGCCATACATAGGGTGTTGTATCTATTTTGGAAAATAATGAGGAATATCAAGGAAATGTTGTAAAGAGAAGTGTTTTATGGAGAACCAACATTGGATTCCATATGTGGGAATAGGCCTGATAACAGTCATACATGTTTTAAGCTATTTAAGCCATAACCTGAACGTTCGCAGAGTTTGATGTTTAATTTCCAAATATTCATAATAGAAGAAGAGTATCCTGTTTCATGATTCCTTAGTTATGGGTCTGTTCATCAAGATAATATTTGAGGATGAGATGGGAGTGTGTAGAAAAATCAATACTTTTAGGAACAATTGTTAGAGAAATACCGTAAAGTCAAAGAAGATTCTTGGAGAACGCCCAGTCTCTATAAAATGAGTACTCTTAATTACGATGTAAGTGTGTCTATAAGTAATCATGGTCTTCCTACCATGAATTTAGTAGAGATACATCCTAATTTTCCTAATAATATAACATAATTTCCGAATATATTATAACGACAAATGCCAACCCTTTGTATTTATCTTAATTATTTCCTCATAATTCAATCAGGTTGTTATGACTTCTCTTTTAAAGGATGTAATTAGCCATCAGTTGTAGCCACAATCACATCAAGGTAAAAACCTTTAAGCACGAATGTTTTCATTACAGAGGAGAAGATAATATTAACAGGAAGAATTGGTACTGAATATTATTATAAATTAAAAATAACTAATTTAAACACTAACAACAAAATAAAATGCACTAGAGAATAAAACAACCGCCATCTATAGTCGATTCATAAAAACCATACGTCGAAATATTGAAAATCACAACCCTGAACATATTTTCCCTATTGATCAATGCAAAAAAAGCAATACAAAACATGATGCAAAAGAGATTGTTAATCTAAACAGTGATAATTGGTTGGAACTTGAGTGAAAAGGGAACATGTTAATTTTATACTTGTAGTATATGAACCTAAACAGAACGTAACAACTTTAAAATGTCAGCCTAATTGATATACTTAATATATATTTCATACTTCTTGAATTATGCGCAGATGAACTGTAATTTTCATGGTAACTTCTTTTCGAACGTTCCTGGAAATTGTGCTTATTTCTCGCACCTGAAGAACATCATGATCTTGAAAATGAAAGATCACTCATAGGATTTGATAAAGATATTGTTCTTTTGAGAACTAGTATATAAAGATTACTTTAAATAGTACAATGAACCACTTGAAATTACAAATCATTGATGCTCCTCCAAATCATTTTAAGAAAAACTACAATGATACTGATGATTCAGTAAGAATGATTTGAAATTCAATTATTCTTTAAAACAAACAATACGGAAAGTGTAGAAATAATACTTACCAAAACAGTGCTGCATTTTAATAGTTTATTTACATAATTTCACTGAGTAGCTCAAGCTACTGAAAAAAAAATTCTGTCCTATGAGGCCCGTATGGTGAGGCTTCCTGACCATTTTCATTGGTTCTAATTTTCCACACGTCAATTTGACTACAGACAGACCGACTGATAGACACCGAACCATATTTGATTCATAATGTCTGAAACGTAGTAAAACGCGAGTGGAAATTTTCGCTTCTGAGCCCTCATTTTTTCTTAAACTTCCTGTACGAAAACAAAGATTCCCTACCTTCGGTAGTGAGGAAGCAAAAGAAAGATAAAAATGTAAAGAAGTGAGATATTATCCAAACAACCATAATATCCTATTCCGCGTTACTGTTGGATAAAACAATAAAAGAATAAACAACTATTCCTTTCGTATCATCTTATTCTTTTCCCCATCCGTTTCAACTCACGAGTTCTAAAGTACACAAGATAAAGAACTGCGAGAAATCTGTAAACACGGGGCCGAAGGCGTGAATATGCGGATTCAGCATTCATTGGTACGTTGAACTCTCTTCAGCAAATAAGCTGACGGTGGGTATTAAACAAAGGGATACGTACGACTCAATCGAAGACCCATACAACGTTTAACGTTTGTCTACGAAGGATTTATTACTCATATGGCTGATTGAATTAATTATAATCTACAATTTAAAACTTGTTAATAATAGCGAATATACTCAGAACATCAAATAAAAACATTCAAATAAAATGACGACAAAATATTTGAGAGACCATAAGTCCAGATACCTACGGAATAAGCAAAGCATTGTCTAGAAAGTCAATATTTACATAAAAAGAAAAAAAGTACTATTAAATATTTCCAAAACTGTATTTAAAAATTAGAGATAGGTGTATAATTCGTTGTTGAAATTGTAAAAATGAAAAAAGTCAAGATATGCAGTCAATAATCATTTATATTAAGTTTGCCGTCGTTTCTCCCCAAAAATGTGGTTCATCTGTAGGGCTAAGCATTAAAAAATACAAAATTACATGAGAAAATCGGTAAATAGAAAATTATGTAAATAAGAGAAGAAAAAAATATGGAGCGTGATAAAATTAAAAAAAAGTATCAAGATAACAGTGATATAAAGATAATTGCAATTAAAAAAAAAACTCTAAAAAAATATTTTTGTTATAAATAAATAAAAAAGATAAGTATATAAAAACCAAAAATTAATTTATCAAATAAAACGATTAAATAAAGAAGAAGTATGCATAAAAAAAAAAAAGACAGAAACAAAACTTAACAAATATAAATAGTTGCTTAACAACTAACAATGGTTTGAAGAAAAGTTTTATTTCTATACTTTTTTTTTGTAAATTTTTTATTCATTTAACTGTATTATTTGGTTAATTTATTTTTTTAAAAGCCAACGTTTCCACCCGATTTTGCAGGTCTTCTTCAGGGAGGTGTGTTCATCTAGGAGTTACACTTAGAAGTGAAACTAGGGTCGAAACGTTGGCTTTTAATAATATAGTTTTGTCACTATTTAGCCTATTTATGACTGCTGCCCCGGACAATCTCCTTCCATTATAATGCAACGGTCAACTATTAAATATTTAATTTAATGTATTTTTTTTTATATAGGTACTTATATTTTTATTTATTTATGACAAAAAAAACTTTCTTACCGTTTTGTTATTTTTTTACTTATGATTTGTTACCGCGTGTAATTTAAATACTTTTATATTTATAATTTTCTGATGTAATTTTTAGCCCTGATGATGACGGTCGCTAACTTAATAAACACTATTATTGCCTGCATATGCTCACTATTTTCCGTTCTTACAATTTAAACACTGAACTATGTATGAAACTCAGTTTTGAAAATATTTAATAATGTTCTTTCTGTTCTCCCAAAAATCGGTAAAAATGAGGGACATAAAATCTCACAACAGTTAGCAAAACATAGAATCAAATGAAACAATAATACATAATAATTGATTTCGAAGGCAATAATAAACACAAAGTTCAGCTTTCAAAATGATTACGGTTTAAAATTATTGTAAGCAACATAAATGTATACATATATGTTAAAAAAAACAATTACATAAGACTTATAAAAATAAAAAAAAATATTTTTTCCATTTCCTTATTATTAACGCATAATACCCATTTTAAGGGATTTGTAATCTGTTCTAGAATTCCATACCAGTAGTATTTATTTTAAAAGCATGCATTTTTAAAATTAATTTGTATTTATTTCTATTAAAAAGTATTTTTTTTAAAATTGTTAAAAAACGTTTATTTTTTTACAACAGGAAGTTGTAATTAATAGGAAAAATAAATACGTAAGATTTCATAAATATTTCATCATCTGAATGAATTTTACAGTTGAAGATTTATTACCTATTCCAAGTAAAACACTACAAAACGATAATTAAAAGTTCTTCATTATTTTCAAATTTAACTTAATTATAAAGAACGTAAAAATGATAAGAGAAAGCTTGAAACTGAAATATAATAGTTTTCCATTATCCTGGTACACACGTAAACTGAATTAATTAAATATGAAAATTAAGATATTTTTAGAATCTTTTTGAAATAATTATAGAAAAAAAAATGATGTTACAAGACTTGACAATTACTCAAGAAAAATGATTTAGGAAATATTCCATTGGTATTTCTAATAACTTAAACATATATGTTCGAATTGATGCCATAGCCTAAATAATAATAATTAAATAATATACCTAATTTATTTTTTAAATATATTTGAATAATTTTTTTTAGGGTAAAAATCAATGATAATATCTTTTAGAGTAAACGTTCAGTTAAATGTTTTCGATTTCGACCCGAGCTTCGAAAAAAAATGGATAATATGCGATTACTTTTTGTTAGATTAAGATGTATTAAAAATGAAACCATTGCAAAATAAAAAGTATTTTCCACAAAAATGTCACATTTCAAGACAGTTTCTTTGTTTCCAGGTTCATGAAATGAAAAAAATAACCCGAGACAAAGTCCTCTGAGAAGAATTGGTATGTTCTGATTTCTGGCTAAAATTTTAATAAAGAAATATCTAATATTAATTTTCATAGAAATTAATATTGTTTATCATAGTGCTTAATTTGACTATCAAAAAGTTAAAGAAATAAATTATGTTTATACAAATGTTAGAAGGATTGACGTATTGGTAAGGTATTCCAGGAGGTATTACGTTTGATGAAAGAATTTCAGAAGGAACGGATTTTAAAAGAAAGAATACATAAATATAAATCAATAGTTTGAGGTCTTGTGTTAAGAGAGTGAGTAGTGGAACGTCGAGTGAAGATTTCTAGGATGTATGAGGATTTTTATGAATCTTCTTGGTTCTATGAATCTGGTAGAGAAATATACCTGGTAGGGCAACTAGAAATTAGGATAAAGCCACTTCAACTCGGTCTAAAAACAATATACATGATAGTCCCGGGAAAACCCAAAGATGAATCATATGAAACAAAGCAGAAAATCCCCCCAAAGAAATGACTGAAGAGATTTCCTTCTGTCAAATGCGAGATTGACATTTTTTTTTCATAAATAAAATTCCCAATAATAATAAAAATGTCAGATGTTCCTTACACAGCAGATTTTGTGAGGTGAGGAATCCGCTGCCTCTAGGCTGCACGTGGCTTTCGTGGCGTAGTTTCGGCCTCCAAGGTTTTTGCGCGTTGTTCATTAATTTAGCACTAGAATTAATTAACATTTAATTTTTTGTGTTACGAAAATTTTAAAATCAATAGAATTAAGCTGAATGTTGAATATGGGTGAGTATTTACTTATTAAAGAGAGCGGGGTAGCTCAGTGGGTGGGCACTGACTTCCAGAGCTCAAGTACGAATCCGGCTGATGACTAGTAATTATTCATTAGCTGTGGATCGACCCTGGGGCTGAGAAATCCTCCTGAGTCAAACTCAGCCTCTATAAAGTGGGTATTCTTAAATAAATAATTACTTAAGGGGGAAAACCTGGTGGTTGAGCGTGATATCGGCCCAATCACCTCCCGGCACAACCACCGGCCTTGTAACAGTACTTCCTCACATTGTACTGAACACAAAGACCCTTCTTCCTTCATGGGTTGTTGGTGGTACAGGTTTTTTTTTTTTATTAATTTATTAATAAAAATAGCAACAGTGAAATATAAACTGTTTTTGCGTTGCCTAACTTGACTGTGGTTTCTAATGATAAAAAAGTTCCCCATCTATGGGGCAAATCTATCAAAGATTAATACTCTCAACTAACCAATTATATAAATTTGTATAATATGAAATATGTATTATTTATTTATACGAAATATTTTTAAACATATTCCAGAATCATCGGGTCCAGGCATCTCATTAGTTCCCTTTCTTACTCCCCTCTACTATACCTCAATAAACGCCTCATTCATTTATATTTTCATAAAATATAAAGGATTGCTGCCCAATTATATTGGGTTGCTATATACACAGCATACTCTTCTATCCTTAGGACAATATATGAACTTATATAAAGTGTACTAGTGTTAAACTGTTTACCATTGTTATTATGGTATGATTGCCATAAAAAATAAAATTAACATTCAAATGACCTCTTAATATTCTGTCAAACCAGACTGATGGACCAATGTTTTGTATCATGTTATTATTATTTTTAGGAGACTTCAGTCCCAGAATAAAATTATTTTTTCTTTTCATTTCAAAATATAATAAGAAAGTGACACAATAGCCTTCTATAAGTAGGCAGTCCATCTACTAGAAAATTAAGCTTACATAATCTTTAGATTCAATTAAACATTTTTAAAGGAGAATTATAATTCTCTAGTTTGAGCTAATTTGTGTTGAAAGTCAGGTGAATAACATTTGTTATTTGACAAAAGGATCAGTGAGGAGACTTGGTTGAACGCGCAGACAGACGCGGCCGGCACGCAGGTAACCTGACGGGTTAGTTTTTTTACACAGGCCTCTGCCGCTGGTTTATGGCACCAGGTTTAGGCAACGGAATGGCTTCCAGGAATTTTAAAAAGTAATTCCATCATACTTAGACGAAAAAAAAAAGGGTAATTGCCTTTAATTTATCATAGCATATTCAAATATTTTCTAAAAGAGTTCATATTAGTTACAAATACAAGGACAGGATTTCTGCTATTTTTGAGCGTACTTATAGCCTGACAACACTGTTTTATGGTAAGGTAACCCGTTAGAGTTGAGTGTAAGTTATAACGCTTTAGCTATTCGGTGAAACATCTCGAATGCGGTTTTCTGGTGTCCAGTTCGTAAATGGTCCATGGACAACCTGTCGTTCTCCAGTAGCCGCAATCTATTGAACTCAAAGAATTTTTTCCCCCTGTAAACTATAATTATTGTGATAGAGTGTCTGTATTGTAGAGTTTGACCACGAAGAGTCCAGCAGGACTCCTCGAGCAGGACAACTTCAACCATGGTTCGAAACTAGAGGCAAAGTAAATCTCTTAACAGTATCTATCCTTCTACAAGTTTTAAATATAAGTACAAATAATAAATAATGGGACCATATCATCTATTTACCTGGTCTATACAGCCAAACATAAAAAAAATAAATAAAGGGGAAGGATACATTTATTTAAAATGGATGAAATTAATTCAAGTGTA